TATCTACATAACTATTAAACTTGAATATCATATTAAACATATTAAACTTGATTATCATATTGTGTACCCCCTAATAAGCCTATAATTATTTCCTATGGTAGGGTACACTAGTATCCGGTAATGTAATACGTGGTGGTTCAATATAAATATCATCTGCCTATATTAAGGTACGATATCGGGCCATGAGTCAAAACAGAATATTGACTTTGAATTTCCTCATTTGAGCTAATAAGCACACTATACATACATACAAGCACACTATATATCTACATAACTATTAAACTTGAATATCATATTAAACATATTAAACTTGATTATCATATTGTGTACCCCCTAATAAGCCTATAATTATTTCCTATGGTAGGGTACACTAGTATCCGGTAATGTAATACGTGGTGGTTCAATATAAATATCATCTGCCTATATTAAGGTACGATATCGGGCCATGAGTCAAAACAGAATATTGACTTTGAATTTCCTCATTTGAGCTAATAAGCACACTATACATACATACAAGCACACTATATATCTACATAACTATTAAACTTGAATATCATATTAAACATATTAAACTTGATTATCATATTGTGTACCCCCTAATAAGCCTATAATTATTTCCTATGGTAGGGTACACTAGTATCCGGTAATGTAATACGTGGTGGTTCAATATAAATATCATCTGCCTATATTAAGGTACGATATCGGGCCATGAGTCAAAACAGAATATTGACTTTGAATTTCCTCATTTGAGCTAATAAGCACACTATACATACATACAAGCACACTATATATCTACATAACTATTAAACTTGAATATCATATTAAACATATTAAACTTGATTATCATATTGTGTACCCCCTAATAAGCCTATAATTATTTCCTATGGTAGGGTACACTAGTATCCGGTAATGTAATACGTGGTGGTTCAATATAAATATCATCTGCCTATATTAAGGTACGATATCGGGCCATGAGTCAAAACAGAATATTGACTTTGAATTTCCTCATTTGAGCTAATAAGCACACTATACATACATACAAGCACACTATATATCTACATAACTATTAAACTTGAATATCATATTAAACATATTAAACTTGATTATCATATTGTGTACCCCCTAATAAGCCTATAATTATTTCCTATGGTAGGGTACACTAGTATCCGGTAATGTAATACGTGGTGGTTCAATATAAATATCATCTGCCTATATTAAGGTACGATATCGGGCCATGAGTCAAAACAGAATATTGACTTTGAATTTCCTCATTTGAGCTAATAAGCACACTATACATACATACAAGCACACTATATATCTACATAACTATTAAACTTGAATATCATATTAAACATATTAAACTTGATTATCATATTGTGTACCCCCTAATAAGCCTATAATTATTTCCTATGGTAGGGTACACTAGTATCCGGTAATGTAATACGTGGTGGTTCAATATAAATATCATCTGCCTATATTAAGGTACGATATCGGGCCATGAGTCAAAACAGAATATTGACTTTGAATTTTCTCATTTAAACCCTAATAAACACACTAATAAACACACTATTAAATGTATACTTAAATATTAAATTTGATTGTCATATTGTGTACCCCCTCATAAACCTATAATTATTTCCTCTATTAGGGTACACTATTATCCGGTTACATAATACGCATTCCAATATAATAATTGTGGGTCAATATTAAGGTAAGATATCAGGCGATGTGTTGAAACAGAATATTGACTTCGAATTTCCTTATTTTAAAGCTAATAAACACACTATTATAATACATACATATATATTAAACTTGATTATCATATTGTGTACCCCTTTATAATTATTGCTCTATTCCTCGGTGATATAATACATGGTTCAATATGAATATTATGGATAAATATTAAGGGGAGATATAGTGCCGTGTGTTAATACAGAATATTGACTTAACGCTATAATATAAATTTATAAATATTCAATAGAATGAAACAAAATTTTTGGAGCAATTTGAAATTAATTACAAAATCATTTATTTTATTTTTATTAAAAAGTTCGCAGAAAACTATGCAAGATATAAGGTATTAAGGTAAGTTTTTTATACTGCGCGTGCGTGGAAAAATTTTTAAAAGTTTTTTTTTTCATTTTGTTGAAAATCGTATTTGGCAACTAATGAAAAAGTTTGATTTAAACATCTTAAAAAATTTTAAAAGTTTCAAACGATTTTCTCAGTAGTTTTTCTAATTATTGAAGGAAAGCTCGAGACTATCAGGTTTGTTCCTGAAATTTAATTGTGTATAAGGCAAAATTAATAAAAAATGATACTTTACAGTAATCGTCCGGAAACCAAAATGTGGTGGAATAAGGAACATGCTTTTAGTGGGAATGATCCCCTAAATGTCGGTCTAATTTTTAATAAATCTTGTCTAATAGTACAAAATGAAATTTCATCTAAATCCCTGATTGTTTTGTGCTTTCTTTAAAAAAAAATAAAAGCTACTAAGAGTAACAAATTAACGAAGAAATTCTTAAATTGTTTCGGAGCAGACGCAGTATGAAAGAACTACCTTAAATACTCATGACTTGCGCAATTTTTAACGTTCTTTTCTTTTTAATTTAAAAAATAATAATTTATTAATTCATTTTAAATTGCTGCCATCATTTTGTTTGATCCCAATGAATATTTATAAAGTTATAGCAAAGAAACGTAAAGCAAAAAATTTAGTTTTTTATGAAAATATCCATATATACATAAATTTTTACTCAAAGCTTACGAAATTTTATGCGGTAATTAAAAATAACAACTTAAGTAATCTATACAAGTTACAAGTTTAGTGCTTAATTTTCTAGCTTAGGGTGTTCAGAAATAATTGTTTTCTTTCGTAATTTATTGTCGATCACTCAATCCTCTGAAAGCTTTAAATCTTAGTAATAAGAATGAAAAATGAACTGATGAAATGTATTAAAAAGAACAAATTATTAATTTAATGAACATTCAATTTGGGTCTCGTTCGGCGCTTTCATGACCTACTGATCTGAGCGGCTATCGCCCGTTTTTTCTGTGGACCCTGTTCATGCCATCAGTTGCGTTAGAATTAAGAGCTATTTGCAAAGACGTATTAAAATGCTCAACTGCTGAAATGGTTTGTAGTGAAAATTTACGATTACCAGCTCAATTTTTTAGGAAAATAAAAAGAGCATATATTTCTGAAAATATTTTTTGTTATTAAGCTGAAGCAACTACGGGAATTAATATCAACATAAAACCACTTTGCTATGTCTACTTTTGTCTTTCAGAATTTGAAAACATAATCTCACATATTTCTCAGAAAGGACCTTCCAAAAAAGCTCAATACTTGGTCCTTAAAGAGTTGCTCAATGCTGCAAGAAGACATTCTGGTGAAAAATAAGATCAGCATTGATAGAATAAATTTAGTGTGTATTTAAAAAGGGGATTCAAGAAATTCTTCCACGGAAGTTCAAGTTGACACTTTATGAGACATTAGGCAGCCAGAGTAAAAGACATGCCAAAATGGAAAAATATTTGATGCATCGACTGAGTTAGCAGTTCCTGTAAAAAATCGATCAGGAAGACGTGTGTATTTTTCTGCTAAATACAAACATTATATTGATTATTAGTTTTTTCCAGGACGGGGATGATGTGGAGATACTTTTTAGAATAATTGTATCGTCTGAAGTTGGTCAAATTTATAATGTCTTTGTCTCTTAAATATCATATTACTACTTTGTAAATAAAATGTATGTAGTTTTCATTTATTCTATTGTCTAATTATTTAAGAGGCGATCACTACCTATGGCAAAATTTACTATGTTTTTACCTTTGGCCTAGATCTATGTTACACCTATGGCCCCTTAAATATTAGTACGACACGCTTTCACCATGTCATATGGATAGTCATAGGAGAAGGAAGCACGTTAATTTTCAAATGGAATAAAAGCTTTTAATTTAGCGAACTTTTTGGAGTTAAAAACCGCATTAAACATAGTTCTAAAAGAAAGCGTCGTGGAAATTCAGAAAATAGTTTAAACATTTAAATACAAAAAATATTATGGAAGGAGAAAATATCGTAGTAGAGGAGGAGATGGAAGGGGGAGTGCCAAATGGCATAATCGATTGTTTTGATCGCGAAGTGACATGTTACTTAAACAGCGTGACAAATGTTTGAGTTCCATAATTTTTAAACTCTACATTTTCTTTAATTTTTTTTCAAAACCAAGGCTCAAAACCTTCTACTCTACTGACATGTTGAATTCTAGTTGCCATTGGTGATCGAAATGGGCTACATGTGACGCAGAGCAGAACTATTTATCTCTTAACAACACCTCGCATGTTTTCTCCATTAACGTATGAATTCGCGAATTCAACGTTCGAATTCAGCATCTGTTTAGAAGACCGTCTCCATATCATCCCCATCTTCTCTTCTCTTCATTATGGCATAGGAATGTACTACGATATTTTCCCCTTTCTAAATATTTTTCTAATTTAATTGGGTATAATATGAAAAAAGCACAACTACTTCCACTTACTAGGAATAACATTTACCTTTTAGTTTAATTAATAAACTGAGTTTTAAATATGCTTACTAAATTCATAAACTTCGGTAAAACAACAATATAAATTATTTCCAAAGGAACTAGACTAATACAATTCCAACCTGGCGAGTAGCGACTTATAACAAGACACTTCGTTTGATGCTTTTACTTGTTGCTAGAAATCAGGTTCGCAGAAAATGCTGTTTACTAGTTAAATTTAGTAGGAATAACACGATCTGTGACGTAGGATATAGTATACCCAATTGTCTAATTTTTTTTTTAAAATTTCCACGATGATTTCTTTTAGAACTACACTCAATATAGTTTTCAGTTTCATATAGTATCCAAATTTAAAAGTTTTTTAATCTATCTGAAAATCAAGGCATAAACTAACATACTTTCTTCTCTTGTGACTCACTACATGCTAATTTTGACTATTAATAATGAAAAAATATTTATGAAAGGGGAAATATCCCCTTACAACTGCGAAGAGTAAGTGGCCAAAAGAAGGTAGGAATAAGACATGGAACTGGTCTTCTCCTCAGATGACACATTCGAGCGTTGCGATCGCGATTAGCGCCATCTGAAGTTATTTCGATCTGAATTAGCTTCTGCCATCTATTGGCAAAAGGTGTAACCTATGTTTACGGAGGCAATTTATGCTGTGTTGTCAATAGGCTTCTTGAAATCTTTAACTATTTTAGTCGTTGATTATCTTTGCTTGTATCTGTATATGTGTTTTAATGTTTTCTATACAAAATTTGTCTCATTTTCGTGTAAAAGATATCTATTATTCTTAAAACGGATCTCTTCTTTATTGGGATTGAATGTTTAACAGAAATTGCCGGTAACTGGTGAATGACATTAACTTGGCTCTCGTTCAAATTCATTGGACATATTTTAGTTGAAGCCTAATATCTGTTTTCGTGTATAAAAACTGTAAAATATCAGCGATATGTACATATTTTTAAGTGTGATTCATTGCTGCGAAGAGTAAGACCTCAATTTTCCATCAGTTCTTCGTAGATTTGTCACTTTCATAGTGCATAACGACGAATATAAATGACCCTTTAAAACCGCAAAATTACTGGATAATACGTAAGTCTGAATCGTATTATACTTAATATTAATTCTTCATTTTGTCATATAATATAATTGATACTTGAACATTTTGATTATTATTTTAGTAATTCATTACATTTTAGAAACACATGAGTTGGTAATCATTGTAAATAATTTCTCATATGAGTAGAATTTTTGTGATTAGGGTGACCTGGGGTAATTCCTGATCAAAAAACGCAAACATCTATTTTGTGAAAAAACTATTCAAAATAGAATTTTAATATATACGGGAAGTTTGAAGCTATATGAGATGAGTCCAATGCCACCTTCTTTTGTTTGAAAATCTAATTAGAATTTAAAAGATTTTAAATTTTTAGTGATCAGGAATTACCCCTAGTCTTGATCATTCCTGGGGTAATTCCTGATCACTTCTGGGGTAATTACTGATCACCAGTTTTTATTGTAAAGGGACTGTTTAAAAATAATTATATAATGGTAATTAACAAATAAGACATCAAGATCAAACAAATAAACCAAAAAGATATGTTTAAGCAGCTAATAATATGATTTATTTAAAAGCAAGAAGAACGATTAACATTTTAAATTTTCAAAAATCTTTGCATCATGCTATAAATTTTAGGCAATCAGCCAACTCATTCTCATGTTGTTCTGAAATATAAGAGAGTTTTCACATTGGTTACTTTTGCTGGATTTTTTAACTTCATTAAAGGAAAGTGTAAAGTTAAGTAAGGTATGCCAACAACTTTGGCAGCAGCTCTCACACTGAAATTTTCATTTTCAATCATTAAAGGAAATTCATTAATTTTGTTTTCTAGAAACTTAGTATCCTTTTTTAGGCTTATAATTTCTCATCATATTTATACTAGGCTAATTTATAAACTTAAAAATTATTCTAACAATTATACTAGGCTAATTTATAAACTTAGAAAATTATTCTAATGATGTACACACATAAAATTAAGATAGAAGCAAGGTAAGATAAACCATAAATGGTGCAAATCAGAATACAGTCTTGTATACAGTTAAAAACAAATTTTGTGATGACAGTTAAAATATATTTTATAGTTGTTCCACTTAATAAATATAAACTGTTATTTAAGAAAAGACAATTAGCTATTTATTAGCTATTTTATATACTATTTATAAGAAGAAATGACAATGATCAGGAATTACCCCAGTGATCAATAATTACCCCATCTGTAGGGGGCAACATTTGATATAGTTTCCTATAATCAATTATAATGTTTACAGTAGATGTGAAACAATTAAACAAAAGCTTACACTACTTTTATATCAAAGAAAAAGAAAGTGACTCAAAATATTCATTATTAAGAGAAGGAGGGAGATCTTTGTAGAAATGTGCACATTTTGAAATGGAAAATACAGAAAGCAGTTTAAAAGATACTTATTTTGTAAGATCAAACAAAAAATTATTCTTAAGTAAATGTAGTTATACTTTAGTAAAGTGTACAAGCATTCTTGTCCATGTCTTAAATTTAAAAAAAAATAATTTTTTTTAAATAAAACTTAGGTGATCATTATTTACCCCAGAAACAGAGTGATCGTGAATTACCCCGGGTCACCCTATTTATAATTTTTCCAAACGCACTTTTTCCAACATCAACTATAATTTATGATACATTAACTTATAATGTTTTGCTTGTATAAGAGCCCTTGGATAATTTTGCTTAAATAATAAAACTTTAAAATAGTTTCGAAAGTTAAATATAGCAATATTGAAAATTACATAATCAATCCAAACTGATTTTATTACAGTAATGTAAATGGTATATTAACACTTAAAAAATGTAAAGATGTTAAAAGTAAATAAATAAGTTTTTTTTTTTTTTTTTTCATTAAGAAGCCTAAAATATGGCAAGGTAATCATTTCTAAATTGATGTGTATTATGCACCTGTTTAAACCGCGATTTTTATCAAAATTAAAAAGGATGAAGGGTTTCACATGTTTGTTCAATATTATAAATTTTTGTCAAAATAAAGTTTTTGTTAGGAAGATTTTTGTGCTTTTATCCATAGTTAGATTAAATCAACATTTAGGTAAAAAGCTATATCAATCTGAATTGTTAAGTAAGATTTTTGTTTGTTTTCTATAAAAAAAACTAAGAAAATTATGTTTTAAGAGTGGGAAGAATCTTAAGAGACCTTTCTCCTCCTAACAAATCATTTATGGCATAAAAAGAATCAATATTTAAATTGAGAATAAATAACTATTCATAGTATTTACCAGTAATATAAACTAAATAATGTAGCACTTAATATTACATCTTAAATTATTCAGAGTACTATGTTTTATGCTATTAGAAAAACCAATTTATAATCTTAATAATTTGAGCTTAATTTTTTTTAAATAAATGATGTATATAATATAAATCTTAATTTCTTAATTGTAGTAGTATATAATACAAGTATTGTGCATAGTTTAGTTTCTAATAAAATGCCCCCAATGACAAAATAGAAACTTGCCTTAGGTTTTTGACAGGTTTCTGATGTCAAAAACCTGGTGTTGTCCAAACTCTGGATTTAACTTATTTATCAGTTTCCAATAAGCTGTAGACTGTTTAGTAAAGGATTATAACATTTGAAATTACAGAAAGTGAATTCAATTTAATATGTAAATTAATAAAATCATAATTTTTTAGTTTTCTTAATTTGAGAGCAGTTATGGTTGAATCCCTTTTAACAGGGTTGGGGTTTTGGACACGACACGTGGGTTTTACTGACTAAAATTGTCCAAAACCTTGAACATAGGTAAGAGATAAAAATTCTATGTGTAACCATTGTTCAAATTGAAATATACTAATTAATTAATATTAGTAATTGAAACATATTAATAATTACATATATATTAATAAATATTTGATAAATTTTATGCAATTTGCTTTACTTTATTAAAGAAAAATAATATAATATAGTTAGAAAAGATTTATAACTTTTGAAGCTCCATAATTCATTGAATAACAAAAAAAAGTGAATACCTTATCCCTTAAATATGAATAAATATACTTTAAATACTGAAATGTATGTTTTTGCATAAGGATAAATAATGCAATATTAGTGATAATAATAAACTTTTTTAATGAAACAAAAACTTGTCTGTTACTTGTTCAAAAATTAACCTTTTATTTTTCAAAATGCTTTTTTAAAATTGTGACATAATTTGAGTAAAAGGGTTTTGCACAGGATGGTTTAAACCATGGATTAATCCATTCTGTCCTAAATTTTGCCAACACTGCCTCTTAAATTAATTTTTATTAAACATAATTACCAATATTTGTGGTTTTAAAAGTAACATCTAAATGTGGAAAGTTTTGCCACAAATATATTTTTCAAATGCAAAAATTTATTCAGGTTTTAAGCAAATTATTTTAAAAAGTTTATGATACAAAACTTCTCCTGCATGTGAATAATCCATTGTTCCTTATTTGGTCGTTTATTGTTTAGTTGCAATCTTTTTGTATGTGTTATATTGGCAGTAACATTATTTGAGTTTTATAATTATAGTTTCTAATTATAATTGTAATAGCTACTTAGAAAAATTAAAAAACAGTTGTTAAATTTAAAAAAAAATTGTTTTCTTGTTTCCTTTTAATGAGCAATTTAACATATTTTTTAATAGTTTTTTTTTATTCTATAATAATTGTGAAACTTCCTCATTTTTTAGGATTTTTACCCATGTTATTTAGAAAAAATGTTAGTGACAGTTATTATTTTTTTATACCTGAATTTTTAAAATTATTGGATTTATGGAAATATTGCTTAAATATGAGCTCTGTTTACCTTGTTGTTAATATGCACAGTTAAAATTATTGATTTTCAGGGAATTATTTTTTTCCTTCCTAAATAACTTTTGCAGGATGGAAAATACATTGACACACCTATTCCACTAGGAAATAGCAGACTATATGAATTTAAAGAAACTATTTAATCAAAAAATAATGTTTATAGTGTTGGATAAAAATTAAATCAGGATTGCCAAGTTTTAGACAATTAATAGTTTTATTTGGTTTTAATAGTGTTTTTATCTATCATGTCAAACTCTTTTTAGCATAGTTTTAACAAGTGTCACAGAACCAAGAATTTTATTGTAAAGAAAATTATTAGCTATTATAAATAAGAAGTATATATATAAATAAACATACTTTAATCAATCAGTTATAATCTTGAATTATTTTGATATTAAACACTCCTTTTGACAATTACTTTCAAAAATCCAATTTTTTTTTGTAGAAATTTTTAAATAAGTATGAATAAAAATATGTAGAATAGAAATTTATCCAATCTGTTTAGTTGTTAAAACATTTGAAATCAAAATCATCTTATTCATTTTGTCTGAAATCATTTACATTTTAACTCCTCCTTTCCCTGAAGCTTGCAACTGCAAGAAAAAAGCTTTGAAGCTTTTTGTACTCAAAGTTCAGTTTTGTATGAATAAGACCAAAATTTGAAACTATTGTTTTGATTGTTGCTGATCCCCGTGGCAGAATCGCAGTGACGTGGCAACATTGTTGCAAAACGTTACAGAGTTATGGCAGATAACTTTCTTTCTTTTTTTAAAGTAAAAAAATTTAATTTTCTTTTTTACAGAAATTTGCACATGATATTTTTACCATGCATTTAGCAGTTATTGATATTGATTTTCACATGGTTTTTAACCTCGATGTATTTCACATAATATGGAAAATTCGAATCATGCATTGGAGTACGTATTTACTTTTTAAGGCACTGATTCTATCAAATTTTTGACAGTTTTTGCTATTGATTTCTCACTAGTTCTTAAATCCGATTGTAACCCCTTTTTGAGGAGTCAAATTCGTGTGATTTCGTCCTCAACTTTTTTTGGATAACGGATTACATAATTTTTTATTATTGTGATGATTATTAAAAAATGTGAAGAAGGAAATAATTTGTGCGTAACCCCCCCCCCCCAATNGAAATAATTCAACCCCCCCAACAGAATGCTAGAATATAACCCATAATATTAGAATAAAAAATTATTACATGCTCAATAAAAAAAATTTAGTTTTTTTTTTTGTAAGTGCAGAGCTTTTGTAATTTTAAATTAATAACATGTATGTTTATCATTAAAAGTGTCTTGGAGAAAGATATTAGTGTTAAAGAGTTTTGTCACAGATATTCAAAAACAAGTTTTCGACATCAAAAACACCACCCTGAAACTAATTATTTTTTTTATAGGTTTTGATGTATTAAATATATGTTTAAAAAATGTTATGATTATAGACTTATGTTCAGGACTGGATTACCCATTAGGCAATGGCCCCCTTAAACTGGATTTTCTGAAAATAAATTTTAAAAAATTAAGAAACACAATGATTTTCAAATTTTTTCGAAGTGTTATGATTATTTTTTAGTTCTAATTTAAAAAAAAAAAAAAAAAAATTTAGTAAATTTTTAGTAAAATTTAATTTATTATTTATTTTCAATATGCTTTCTTAAATGAAAAGATGTATAAATACTTTTATATTTGAATGAATAAAAAATATATGCGAAAAAATTTAATCTAGGGGCCCCAAAAATTTGAATGGCCTAGGGCCCTTCGTACGCTTAATAAACGCTTGTCCCTGCTTATGTTTTATAATTGTTTTTCTAGGAAATTTATGTTCCCTTTTTATGTCTGTCACTATGAAATTGCCACTCCAAAATAACTGTAGTTCCCCAATGTGTTTTAAGTAAATTAGTGTTGTATATCAAATTTATAATTGTATAGAATATTGTTGCAATGTCATAATCAACATGCTTCACACCAGTAATGAACATTTAGTGGTTAAATAGGACCACTTAGCTATTGATTTCAAGCGTATGAAAACTTAATATGGTAGACAGACTTTAAAAAAGAAAAATGGAGTTTTACAATTACGTGATTCAGAGTTGGCAAGGTTTCAGACAGAATGGATTAATCCACGGTTTAGAATGTGGTTTAAACTATTCTTTCCAAAAAAAAAAATCTTTGTTTTAAACTGTCCTAAACCCTTTTTTTAAAATTAGGTCACAATTTTAAAGAAAAATATTTTAAGAAACGAAAGGTTAATTTTTGAGCGCGAAATAGAATAAAGAATAGTTTTTGTTTTTTTAAAAACTGAACTCAGTGGCTGGACAGCCCGTTGAGGGCCGAGGCCTACTATGCCCATCTTTGTTTTCTTGACCTTGGGCTCTGGGGTACAGGAGCAGATGTTACCGTTAGGTGGTCAGCCAAACATGAAACCCCCAGTGTTTTAGGTACTCATTTATCAACCCACTGAAGGGATGAAAGGCTGAGTTGACCTTGCTAGCCCCTAGGATCGGGCATGAGAGCTCGAAGCGCTACCACTCAGCCACTGGGCGTCTTTTTAAAGGAAAGTTCATTATAATTAAAGCTAATTATAATGAAAGCTATAAAAAAGTTTATTGAAAGGGCTTTTGTTTTATTAAGAAAGTTAATTAGTAATATTGCATTTATTTATCCTTATGCAAAAACATAATTTATAGTTATTAATAGCATATTTATTCATATTTAAGGGATAAGGTATTCATTTTTGTTCTATGAGTTTTTGAGCTTTAAATGTAATTAATCTTTTCTTATTATAATATACATAATTATTTTGTGTACAATGGTTACATATATAGAATTTTTACCTTTTATTGTTGAAGGTTTTAGACCCTTTAGGACAATTTAAGACAGTAAAACCCATGTGTCCTGTGCGAAACCAGTTTTGGAAGTTCAAAAATCCAACACTGATATGATTGAATTACATTGTTCCATAGGAGTACTGTCGAGCCTCGTTAATGTGAAATCAGCAGGACTTTCATAATTATATCATGTTAATTGAATTTTGTTTTATTATGAAAACTGTTTATAACATATTATTAATGCATTTTATGTGCTACATTAATGTATTCAAACAATACTATTATGAACCAAACAAATTAAAATAAGTTTTAACTACTTTATAAAACTATTATATTTTTACTATTATTATTGTTATTTATTTTTTATTTGCCCTTCTGCTACCTCTGACAAATGACAGAAAATAGAAATAGCATTCTTCAACATAAATGATTGGGATTTTATTCACATGCTTATTATCTGTGCTGTGTGTAGTTAATTTTTGTGTTAAGCGATAATCAGGGTTGAAAATTTCATGTTAAACATGTAAAATACAACAATAATTGATTGCTGACTCTCGGGACCAAACATGTGTTTCATGTTATATTTCATGTTAAGCAGTTTTGTGTTAATGAGGTTCTACTGTACACGGTTGAATTTCAATTCCATTAAAATCATTTCTTCATGAGACTTGGTACCAAGCAAAAAACAAACTTTTTCGTTACTATTTTGTAAAACTATTTTTTGTTACGATTTTGTTTTAAGCGAAGCTTACCCACCCTCCGGGGGGCATCCAGGAATTACCAAGTGACATGGCATTGCGAGAGCTCAGATTCAATGGAACGGTGGTGGTGCATGGGCACTGAAATTCATGGCCCCCAGTCACGTGTGACAAAAGCATCACAAAACATGTCGAAACCTTGAATTTGGGTAAAAAGTAAAAATTCTTTAGGTGTGTAACCATTGCACACATATTATTTACATGTATTGATAAATATTTGATACTTTTTATGCAATTTGCTTTAACTTATTAAAAGTTATTCACATTTACTAAAAAAAAAAAAATTTCATATTAATGCAGAATTCAAAATTTTATATTACTTATGAAAATAGTTATTTATTTTTAAGTTGAATTCATGTTGTCTTT